GGGGGTAGTCGAAGAGGAAAAGCTAAAAAAAAAAAAAAAAAAAAACATGGAAAAACATCAAGAAATAAACATGACTAAGTTATCATATATTTGTTCAATAAACGGAAGACAGATCAAAGAAAAATGGCGGGTTTTATGTGCTAGTGCTTCTATCGATATCTCCACGACCCCAATAGGTCAAGGGTTATGTTATCTTATATCTCTATTGGGGTACGAACACAATACTAGCAATAGTCACCAGGCTAGCCAACAAACGTTTGTATAAAAAGTCCGGTATTTTTGAAATGTCATGAGCTTGCTGCATGTATGTCTTCTATTGTGTCTTCTTCAGAGGCGATACCTTTGACTGAGTCAGCTCCTTGTGCAGTTTAGTCAGGTCAGCGTAGACGTTCCTCCTGAGGATGTTGGAGGCACACAGAAGGCCTGTCATCACGGCCGGAATGAACCCACATGTCAAGGTGTCTTGTCCTGGGGAGGAGATGACAGGACGCTATTGGATGAGTCAAGATATAACAGCACAAATGAGATAACGTGTTTGACAGGAGCACCAACAGCTGTGTGATAAAGTGACTGTACATATTTATGAGATGTATTGATTGTGTCAAATTCGGAGACACACTCAGGGGTTACTCTAGGATATAAAGTCAGAGGATGGGGGAGGGGGGTGGGAGAGGGATAGAGTGCCTTGGACACTTGGACATACTCGAAGCATTGAAGAACATACTTAGAGTCCCCAAGGACGTCACGTATAGAAGAGCTATTCAGGTAAGTTCATTCAGGGACCAACATGTTCAAAATGTAAATCCCCACAGACCAGAAGCTCAATCCTCAGTATAGAAAGATCGTTAATACAGTATAACTGGCAATGATCCAATGATCCCAAATAAAATTCTCACCTGCACAGTCCGTGGCGACAGCACTAGCCATGCGCCCGTAAATTCTCAGGCTCAAAGACCCCACCCCTCCCTCCCCCGCATACACCGCAAAAGTAGTATAATTAAAGCAGGAATTGGCAATGTTTTGGCAGATCCAGGAGCCCCTTGCTTAGCCTCCGCTGGCCAAAATTGACCAGCGGGCCGCCAGTTTAAAAGCCCTGCTCTACAGTGAATAACCCACGGGTAGAAAATATTCAGCTCGGTCTCTTTCACGATGTAAAGATCTGCTCAAGAGCTGGGATATAAAGGATACAAGTAGTGATAAAACAAAACTGTGACAGAAGTCCACTGTTCGTGGAGTCATCTTTATTTTTGTTCCGGGACACGCAGGCGTCGATGGAAATGAAAGAGCTGACAGGTTGGCTGGATCCGCTATCACTACCGACGGTCAGCCTATGGATCATGCTGATATTATCAATGCCCTCAGAGAAATGGGAAGGATAGAGGACTTTGGTGGCAGTGAATCCACATCACTCGCCAGAATGGCAGACTTGGGAATTAAGATCGGCACAGCAAAAAACGAGACGCTCACCAGCTACGCCAGAAGACTTGTTAATCAACATAGAACTGGTACTATTAGCCATCAGACGTTGGGGATTATACTGAGGGGAGGATCTGAGCACCTATGGACATGTCCGGAGTGCAATGAGGATAACCCAACTAACTAACTAACTAATGTGACATAACATGGCCATACACACCTGTGAGGTACAGTCCTTTGATGTCTGGGTTTGTACGAAGTTTACTGACCACATCAGGTGAGAAACGAACCTGGCGTTGGTCTAGACCGTACATCTCACCTTGTTGACAAGCCAGGTAATGATTGTTAGTTACAGGCGTCCCCACCTCCATGTAAACTTTCTGGGAAAAAGCGAGATAGTATAAAACAAATAAAAGTTTCGTACCTTTTGGGGCGTTCTGGTGCCATGTGAAAACAATATTTAGTACTATTCCCCGATACTTTTCGGCAGCGCTGGTCGAACGACAATGTATTCTGCACTCTCAAATGTATCATCTTGTAGAGCGAGCTGTGTATTGATAGTCGTAACCTCTTGTACAATGTGCTGTGTATTGATAGTCGTAGCATCTTGTACAATGTGCTGTGTATTGATAGTCGTAGCGTCTTGTACAATGTGCTCTGTATTAATAGTGGTAGCGTCTTGTACAATGTGCTGTGTATTAATAGTCGCAGCATCTTGTACAATGTGCTGTGTATTGATAGTCGTAGCGTCTTGTACAATGTGCTGTGTATTGATAGTCGTAGCGTTTTGTACAATGTGCTGTGTATTGATAGTCATAGCGTCTTGTACAATGTGCTGTGTAGAGATAGTCATATAGCGTCTTGTAAGATGTGCTGTGTAAAGATAGTCATAGAGTCTTGTACAATGTGCTGTGTATTAATAGTCGTAGTGTCTTATACAATGTGCTGTATATTGATAGTCGTAGCGTCTTGTACAATGTGCTGTGTATTGATAGTCGATCGTCTTGTACAATGTGTTGTATATTGATAATCGTAGCATATTAAAACAAAAACAAAAAAAAAAGAACCCGGATTGGAATTACCACCATCTTAATGACAAAACATTGCTTACCCGGCCCTCCAGCTGAGGGAACAGATCCACACACTGTTGCCACATCTGTCTGCCAAGGACGTCCTTGATCCCTTCATAACGATCCCCACGGTGACGCACCTTCTCGTCCTTCCACTCCTCGAACCACTCCCATTTGGCGTAGGTGATGGCGAGAGCTGCTGACTTGCCTGAGATTAGCAGAAGAGATGCCGAAGATAAGAAACTTGTGACCACTGGAAGACACAACAGGATGACCTTTTTCTTAGAATCCATGCAGTGTGGCGTTGGTAGTCATGTCTATCCACAACCTTCTGTCTCGTGTACTTTCACTAAATTCTGACACAGATGATCCTCCATAGTCCATGCCGTGTGGCGTTGTTAGTCATGTCTATCCACAACCTTTTGTCTCGTGTACTTTCACCAAACTCTGACACAGATGACTTTCCATAGTCCATGCAGTGTGGCGTTGGTAGTCATGTCTGTTTACAACTTTTTGTCTCATGTATTTTCACTAAACTCTGAATCAGATGATCTTCCATAATCCATGCCGTGTGGCGTTGTTAGTCATGTCTATCCACAACCTTTTGTCTCGTGTACTTTCACCAAAATCTAACACAAATGATCTTCCATAGTCCATGCCGTGTGGCATTGGTAGGCAAGTCTATCCATAACCTTCTGTCTCGTGTACTTTCACTAAATTCTGACACAGATGATCTTCCATAGTCCATGCCGTGTGGCATTGGTAGGCAAGTCTATCCATAACCTTCTGTCTCGTGTACTTTCACTAAATTCTGACACAGATGATCCTCCATAGTCCATGCCGTGTGGCGTTGTTAGTCATGTCTATCCACAACCTTTTGTCTCGTGTACTTTCACCAAACTCTGACACAGATGACTTTCCATAGTCCATGCAGTGTGGCATTGGTAGTCATGTCTGTTTACAACTTTTTGTCTCATGTATTTTCACTAAACTCTGACACAGATGATCTTCCATAATCCATGCCGTGTGGCGTTGTTAGTCATGTCTATCCACAACCTTTTGTCTCGTGTACTTTCACCAAACTCTAACACAAATGATCTTCCATAGTCCATGCCGTGTGGCATTGGTAGGCAAGTCTATCCATAACCTTCTGTCTCGTGTACTTTCACTAAATTCTGACACAGATGATCTTCCATAGTCCATGCCGTGTGGCATTGGTAGGCAAGTCTATCCATAACCTTCTGTCTCGTGTACTTTCAATCAGCTTTGACGCAGACGATCGTCCATGCCATGAAGTCAAACTGTCCAGCATCTGTTCTTTCGGTCTCCCTCTGCCTCTTCTTCCATCCAGCTTTCCTACTCTCACGATCCACTCTAGTTTTTTTTTTCCTTCTCATCACATGACCAATGTAGATTGGCCCTTTCCCGTGCGGGCAATCAGTTCTCTTTAGTGAGTCAGTTTCTTTCAAAGTATCTTTAATACTCTTTGTTATCTGTCTAGGGTATTCTCATCATTCGTCTATAAAACCATATCTCCGCAGCTTCCTAATAAGGATGACCAGAAGATAAAAAAACCAGGAATGAGGTCGGCAGAGAACCAGTTCTTAATCACATGCAAAGACAGCAAGTCCAATGGTTTGCCCACTTAGTGCACACAAATCATGAAACAATCATCACACATACATAATGTAGAAATATACCCATGCCATCACCACACAGTCTTCACACACAATCATCACACAATCGTCTTACAATCATCACACAGTCGTCTCATAGTCATCATACAATCCTCACACAGTCATCACACACAATCATTACACAATCGTCTCACAATCATCACACAATCATTATACAATCATTACACAATCGTCACATGTGTCATAAACCACTGACCTTTCCCAAGTCGGTGCCAGGGCCCTTTGTTAAAAACAAATAAAATAGAGCTACTGTCCCTGCGCCACGCCCCAACAAGCATGTCGTAAAAAGCGACTAATTAGTCAAGCTTCCTTCGAAGTAGGAATGCGTCTGCCTAAGAGGCGAGGAACCAAGAGTCTGCATACAGGTAAGCCAGATCTGTAAAACAGATATATACACAAAATTCGAGTCCTAAAACAAGACTAAATTCCAGAAGTGGACGAATAACCGGAATTTTTAGCTGGATTTTTCGTACCTTATCAACCATGTTTGTCCCCATGTAGGACGCAATTTTTCTTTTTTTCTGAAGCCTCACCCCGGTTTTTGCCAGGGGCCAAATATATTACCTAACTGAACAATGCGGTTTCTGGGAGTTCTCCACGGGTGATCCTTATTCGCATGGTGACACTTATCGGGTTCAATTAACTACTACAGCCTGGTTTTACAGTCGCTAATTGCGAAGCAGGAGAACAAACACACACCTCTCATATATAGTGTACACATACAGATACAGACTCACCCATGCACACACACAAATACAAACACACACTATTTCACATATTATCCTTAAACATTTTAGAAAAATTACATCAAACCGACCAGGAAACTTGGTCTCATACTCCGGATCTTTGGCAGACGGGAATGAAATAAACGAGAAAGGGATCTCAATTTGGTCGACCTCGTCAGCCTTGACATTCATGTAGGCGGTCACTGACTTGTTGATGTCTTCTCTGTTGAAGAACATTATGATTGAATAAACGTAACCAGATTAACTTGGTATTATGTCCCTTTAAGTGTTCGGGACTAAAATGCTTCGGAAACTTAAAGTGATGATAAAGCCATCCATGGCGCAGCTAGAACGTACAACATGACAATGGAAACACCAAGGTGTAGAGGGAGATTGAAAAAAAATATGGATTTAAAGAAGTAACTGACAACCGAATACTTCACAACATCACAGCATGCCTAGCAGCCAGGCTTTACGCATCAGTAAAGATACCTCAGAGTGGCTTCTAAATAAGAGAAGAACGCCTAACACTTCCAAGGGGTAAAACCCTTTGTATAACCATACATTGCTCACAACAGTGCGTTGACGACAATGTAAAAACCATTGTCTTCTCGATAAAAACTGTGAACTCAAAGTGGCCTCTCGACTTGCACAAGAACGGGAATCCCCGTTGACCTAGTAGGCCTGGATAGAGTCGCCTGTGGTAAAAACTAACATTAACAACCGAGCGCGCTCTAACTCAGCGACCTGGCATTTGTAAAGCTGAATCAAAATGCAGATAATGGGCAAAAGAAAGAAGGATATTCCTTGCTCAACTGCTGTGAGTGGTAGGCTAAGGCCGATATCATGTTGAGTCTGGGAAAAAATGTACCCAGATACCACGGGTTTGTTCATTCTTGAAAAGTGATTGTAAAATCTTTGAAAGAAAGAGTTCATAAATTGGTATTATTGAAGCAAAACTTTTAAAGCGATATGATTAGATCTTGTCGGGCGCTCTATGAATAGGAGCTGTCCTTACCTACACAGGATTTCATGTCCAACCACCAAGTTTTACACCAAGCATGTACAACATGAACAGTTGAAACAGCTTACGTATTGTACAACCAGACGTTAGACACCAAGCATGTACAACATGAACAGTTGAAACAATTTACATATTGTTCAACCACAAGTTATACACAAAGTAAGTACAACATGAACACTTGAAACAACATACGTATTGTACAACCACAAGTTGGATACCAAGTAAATACAATATGAACACTTGAAACAACATACGTATTGTACAACCACAGGCTGGACACCAACTATGTACAACATGAACAACTGAAACAACTTACGCATTGTACAACCAGACGTTGGTAGCAGGAAGTTGTAGGTCACGGGAGCTGCCCTCGATCCCAATGAAGGTTGTAATAAATGCGTGGCTGGGACCGACTTTCTCAATCAGCGGATAGATGTCTGCTCGGACAATGTACAATTACTGTCAGTATGGATGTACCGGAAAGTGGACGTTTACTGTCATATTGGGTGTACCGGAAAGTGGACGTTTACTGTCATATTGGATGTACCGGAAAGTGGACGTTTACTGTCATACTGGGTATACCGGAAAGTTGGACGCTTAGTGTCAATATGGGTATACCGGAAAGTTGGACGCTTACTGTCAATATGGGTATACCGGAAAGTGGACGTTTACTGTCATACTGGGTGTACCGGAAAGTTGGACATTTACCGTCAATATGGGTGTCCTGAAAAGTTAGACATTTACTATCAACATTATTTAATCAGTTTGTGGACAACTATTGTGAATAATATTACTTAGTAAAGTTTGACACCGTCACTACCATTATTACCACGGTACTCCTGAAAGTCTCTCTTTCTCCAGTCAATTCTCCAGCCCTGTGTGTTTTCATAGCCAGGGCAGCTTCAATGTTTTGTATCCTTCTTGGCGGAGATTTGCCCCTTACCTCGTTTTTTCGGAAACAATACCTTTCGTCACCTTACACTCCAAGCCACCCTGACGTTCAACATGGCCACAATAACTCTACTGTCGGGACAGGATGCTGTTTATGAACCAATTCTCCTCCATGTGCAGATCACGGAGAATGTTTTCTTGGTCCTTTCGTAGAATTTCAGTTTAAAAGCTCCGGTTTTTTTCGTGCAGTGATTGAGTTTATGGTTTATGGTTTAATCAACGGATCAACATCATGGCACACGGGTGTAATCCATAAGTGCTCCGCTCTACTTCTAACTCAACCCTGAGTCTGAAGAATCTCAGCGCGGTACACGAACTCTGTTATTAAGTCTATGACTCACATCTAGAAAGTGGCATCAAAAAGATGCATAATCTCAAAATGTTTACTTCCACTCGCTTGCAGGTGACGTGCAATAGGTTCTTCGTGCTGTTTCGTATATGCATTGTCTTTTTTCTGTCTTCTTTCTGCAGTCGCCATTGTTATTCAATACTGAACCGAAAGACTAACAATTGTGATATTTTCCATTATACATGTTATAACGTGCTTGTTGTATTCATTATACTCAATGCAGAAAGAGTTTCTTCTTTGCTGTGCTTTTTGACTGTCAGAATAATTCTTCTAAACATTGTACACTGCTGTGAGAGAGAAATGCCTGGTCTGCGTATTTGAATTCTTAGATAAGTGTGCCTCCAACTGTGAGCAGATGGAAGCTGTCACAGGCCTCTTCACTTACAGCATTTCTACTTTCAGCATAAATGTTGAAAAGGAATAGATAGAGAATGCAGGCTTATCTCAAACAACATCTCTACATTTCAGACCAACTACTCTGACTGCAGCTTGTTGTTCATAGTAAAGAGATTTAGTTACACTGATGATGTAAAATTCCGTTCAGAGCAGTGATTCTCAGCCTTCCTATTGCCGCGACCCTTCAATACAGTTCCCCATGTTTGGTGACCACCAACCTTGAAATCATTGTCATTTCCGCTTCATAACTTCAGTGAATATGTGTTTATGAGGCGACCCCAGTGAAATGGTCGTTTAACCCCCAAAGAGGTCGCAACCCACAGGATGAGAACCGTTGGTTTAGATGTAAATTTAGAGATATGTATTGTGGTAGTCTCCCTTTACTAACATACTTTCCGTCCTTTTTAAAATGAAATGTTTCCTTATTTGAAGCCCTACTCTGGCTCTTGCCAGGTGCCGCAATATAGCCTGGTCACAAATATGGCCTAAAGGCTGAACGCGGTTTCTGGGACCTCTCCACGGTGATCCTCACCCACATGGTAGCACTTTGTGTCATCAGGTGTTTATCGCTTGTGTGATGTCCTGGTGGGGTAGAAAGTCAGTCAGTCAGTCGGTAGTCTCCCTTGATTTTCCCACCAACATGGCTAAGGCATTTTAACCTTTAGCCATTTTTTAAGATAACCCAGGGTAAGTCAGTACCCTACTCAGTGAGCTACCCGCTTGTGTGACCCATCTCTGCCCCTACCTCCACTGTGCCTAAGTCACAGGTCTCTCTGTGGTGCGCTATCTAGTGGCATCACGTGTTGGAACGATTTGATCTGTTGATGTAGTTTAGTACTGGTTCCCTCCCATCTTGTCTGCTGATATCGCTATTTATGATCCTGCCTCTTCTACACGTGATTATTACAGGCCGATCCCCTTGTGGCTTCGCGGCCTTATTATTTTTGTGTGGGGGAGGGGGATGAGAGGGAGGGGGGGGGGGGAGAACAGATCCACTGTCCCCGTAATCAGCATCTCGTTAAAAAAGACTAGCTGTGAATTTCTTTAGAAGTGCGAGTGCCAGAGGCTAGGTATCAACACTTTGCATTTTTTAAAACAGACCTGTAAAACGGATGTGCACTCAAAAACTCAAGTTCTGGAACCAGTCCAAAGTTTTGAAGTGGACGAGTAACCAGAAATGTCTGCCATAATTTACAGTCGATAAACATTAACAAAAGAGTGGACAATAAGTATTCTTCCGCCTCCCACCTCCAAACTGCCCCAGAGAGACACACGAAGACAATGTAAAATTCAAACAACTAAAAAGCCTCACTAGATTGTTTGGCCACATTTTCCGGAAGTAATTTCTTGAACGTGTTGGCCACTCCGGCGTCAGAAATGATGTGCTTCGCTTGTATCTCACTGTCACCGACCCGGACTCCTGTAAATAATTGAGCAACATCTTATTTACTTTGCCAGAGGCTAAACACAGCAATCTATACTGAGGAGAAACAAACTAATGGTAGTTACAATACAAGAAAAATGTATCCTCCAAATGTAATATCAAGTTAAATGAAAGAATCCTTAAACAAGTTGGTACCTCTTAGTCAGTTGTTCTCAACCTTCATAATGCCGCTACCCTTTAATACTCGTGTCGTGGCGACCCCCAACGATAACATTACTTTCGTTGATTCCCTCGAAGTCGGAGTACAGCTGCCCATGAGGCAGGGAACAGTAAAACGGTTGTACACGCAAAACTCAGGTCCAGGAAAAAGCCAAAAGTCCAAGCGGACGATTAACCGGGACCTTCCGCCGGAATTCACAGCCGGTGAACGAAGAAGAAGAAGAATTACTTTCGTTGCTATTTTTTAACTTTAGTGAATATGCGTTTTCTGATAGTCTTAGGCGGCCTCTATGAAAGGGTCGTTCGACATCCATGGGATCATGACTCACAGGTTGAGAACCGCTGCTTTAAGTGATCTTGTAATCTGGTAGTCTTAGTTTCAGCTTCATAGCAAACGGGTCACCACTTCATTGCTCCGCTCCTGTGCCAACGAAAAACACAAAGAATGTTTATCACAGTCCATTGTGGAAAGATTGACAGACTGCTGTCTCGGCATATGCACTAGCATACACACGCATTAAAAGCATACGGGAGCCATCCGAAGTGCTTACACAAACAGTCCGACATTAGAAATGCTGTTCATCATGGATGGTGGCCGAAGTCACCAAAGCTGGGAAAGAAAAAAAAGAGAATGCAAAGTAATTTGATGCTTTTCCCTGTGGGACAATGAAAAAAGAGACAGTTTAACAACATACCTACTGCTCTACCACTGGAATCACACACGATCTTGGTTACCGGTGCCTGGACAAGAACTTTGCCGCCTCCCCTCTGTATAGCCTGGCTCATGTGAAAGGCGATCTCCGAGGTTCCGTTGGCTGGATAGAAGGCTCCATTGCTGTAGTGCTTTACCAGAAGGGCGTGCATGAAGAACGGAGCATCTTTTGGGAGAACACCTGTTCGAGAAATACACATCGTGTTTGACTGAATAATTGGTTGTGTCACATAATGGTTTCTGAATTAATACAAGACTGATTGTTTAATGAAGTGGACATCTTTGTGTAAAACACACGGCCAGGGAATCTACAATGATGGTAGGAACAGTGCAGGTACTCAGCAAAAAGTGTCTAAAGAAGGGTGGAAGAATGCTGGTCTCAGCATAAAGTGTTTAAAGGTGGGTGGAAGAGTGCTCGTCTCAGCATAAAGTGTCTAAAGGTGGGTGGAAGAGTGCTCGTCTCAGCATAAAGTGTCTAAAGGTGGGTGGAAGGGTGCTCGTCTCAGCATAAAGTGTTTAAAGGTGGGTGGAATAGTGCTGGTCTCAGCATAAAGTGTGTAAAGGTGGGTGGAAGAGTGCTCGTCTCAGCATAAAGTGTCTAAAGGTGGGTGGAAGAGTGCTGGTCTCAGCATAAAGTGTGTAAAGGTGGGTGGAAGAGTGCTGGTCTCAGCATAAAGTGTCTAAAGGTGGGTGGAAGAGTGCTGGTCTCAGCATAAAGTGTCTAAATGTGGGTGGAAGAGTGCTGGTCTCAGCATAAAGTGTCTAAAGGTGGGTGGAAGAGTGCTGGTCTCGTCACAAAGTGTCTAAAGGTGGGTGGAAGAGTGCTGGTCTCGTCACAAAGTGTCTAAAGGTGGGTGGAAGAGTGCTGGTCTCGTCACAAAGTGTCTAAAGGTGGGTGGAAGAGTGCTGGTCTCGTCACAAAGTGTCTAAAGGTGGGTGGAAGAGTGCTGGTCTCGTCACAAAGTGTCTAAAGGTGGGTGGAAGAGTGCTGGTCTCGTCACAAAGTGTCTAAAGGTGGGTGGAAGAGTGCTGGTCTCGTCACAAAGTGTCTAAAGGTGGGTGGAAGAGTGCTGGTCTCGTCACAAAGTGTCTAAAGGTGGGTGGAAGAGTGCTGGTCTCGTCACAAAGTGTCTAAAGGTGGGTGGAAGAGTGCTGGTCTCGTCACAAAGTGTCTAAAGGTGGGTGGAAGAGTGCTGGTCTCGTCACAAAGTGTCTAAAGGTGGGTGGAATAGTGCTGGTCTCGTCACAAAGTGTCTAAAGGTGGGTGGAAGAGTGCTGGTCTCGTCACAAAGTGTCTAAAGGTGGGTGGAAGAGTGCTGGTCTCGTCACAAAGTGTCTAAAGGTGGGTGGAAGAGTGCTGGTCTCGTCACAAAGTGTCTAAAGGTGGGTGGAAGAGTGCTGGTCTCGTCACAAAGTGTCTAAAGGTGGGTGGAAGAGTGCTGGTCTCGTCACAAAGTGTCTAAAGGTGGGTGGAAGAGTGCTGGTCTCGTCACAAAGTGTCTAAAGGTGGGTGGAAGAGTGCTGGTCTCGTCACAAAGTAATAAAAAGCTATTACAGTAGGATTAGGAAAAAATAATTTTCTAAAAAAAAAAGGAACAAGTTTAAAAGCACACAGTCAGTAATTAGTATTTCCATTTTGTTACTGGATATTACATCAAATGCTATTTTGAACTAAGTGTAAAGATCCCTTTTCACACCTTTAGACGTATCGGGCATCTGGAAAGAGAGGCACCATATTGTTTTTACAGACCATCGGCACTAGGTTTGTAATATGGTCAGCATTACGCAGGTCGACTATTTTAGAGCATTCTAAATCAAATCATTGCCACCTATTGCCGCATTCTTACAACATCAGCTATAACTGCACAGACTGTTTGTTGTTGTATTTAGCACCGTTTGGCTTTCTGTTATTTTTTGTAATTTGTGGATGTTATGTTCGTAAGTAAATGAACAAAATGGTAGGCAAAGAAGGCTACACGGCAAGCGAAATTCCTGTTAGAACTGGCTGTAAAACGTCGTCGGTTAACAGTGAGATCACACGACACTAGTTGTAGAGTACTTTTTCAACCGCAAGAGAAGTGGTTGTCACAGAAAAACAGCTCCAAAAGACAACGGGTAAATCAAATCCAACGTTTCACATTCTCCAACCCTTAGTGAAAGAAGATCCTGTCTGCACTGCTTTAAGGAGGTTTAAAATGAGCCCGGGGTACGGGTGGGGTGAGGGATGTATCTTGCAGATGAATGAACGAGCTGAACTGATTAAAAAACAACCCTGTCCGAAACCCAAGATTAACAGACAGAAAAAAAAAAAAAAAAAAAGCCCAAGTCGCCTTCAACAACCCCTTCTCTTTCTACGAAAGATAACAAATGCACACAGAACAGGTACCGTAATCGCCACAGATGTAAGACAGGACCAGCTTGAGCTGTTTGTTGTCTGTGAGTTCATCCAGGACCTGCTGCAGACTTGTGCTGGCGTACCCCTTCCGGTAACACTTGAACACTAGACGGTACAGGCCGGAGTTGATGAGGAAGCTAGCCATCCTGGCAGGGAGGACTTTAAAAGCGATAATTCCGATGTAAGAGTTTCCGGCATCCTAGGGCAGAAAAACATCATCATCATCATCATCACCATCACCATCATCATCATCACTCAGCATGTCTTTTTCAGAATGTCGCTCTTATCACGAAACGCCTTAAGTCTGAAGTTGCTCTAGTCAATTTTCCAGCCCTGTGTGCTTTCATGGCCAATGCATATTCAATGTCCAGTACCCACCCACGCGGAGGTTGGCCTGTGGCCTCGGCGCTGCGAAAGTGCTTCGTAATTCCAAAATACTTGGTTTAAATCCTCCTGCAGACCATATGACAGCAGAACACTTCACCTTGATTGTGACATTGGTATGGAGCGCTGACCTTTTAGACAGCAATGGCAAACTACTGAACATAAAATTCACTTCGTAAAATTGCTAATTAAAATCAAAGACAGCCCAAAAATCTTGGGGTTGGTTCTGCAACACACCGTAAAAATACACAACTAATTTTAAATTAAATAATATTAATAATTAAAACAATACCAATAACAGCTCTCCATGGCACTGAATGTCATTTCCAGGCCATTCAATGTTAGTTATTCTGGCAGTCCAAGTCATTCGCAACATTCTTCTCAAGAACCACTTCTCAGCTGCCTTCAAACTCTTCTTAATTTGCTCACATTCCAAGACTCACTATCTTACAACAGAACAGGCTCGATGTAACATTTAAGTACTCGCTTTCTGATGTTTAATGAGAGTGATTACATATTGAAAGACAGAGAATGAAGTGGTTTGGCTATTTAGTAAGAATGCAACCGGATCAAATTGCCTATAAGGCCTTTTACAGTAGAACATCGGGAAGAAAGGCCAGAGGAAGACCCAGGAAAAAATGGATAGATGGAGTAGCTGAATACGGCCAGAAGATCCAGAAAACTGTCACTCAAATCACGCCAGAGGCACAAAACAAACATTTTAAACCACGACACTGGGTAAAAGTGAAGAAGACAATAGATAGATAGAATGAAAGTGATTTATTACATAAAATACTGTTTATCCTCTGAAATGCTGCCTTTTCCATCTCTATAGTGAAATAATAATAAGGGTTATAATTGTGACTAGGTTATGTGCGCTTTATAAAATGGCTATTAGCAATGCACGCCACATAGTAGCCTTAAAACGGACTCCTTCAGTGTGTTGATGTGATCAAAGGAGACAGACCAAAATACTATGCCATCCCGCTGCAAAACCGTTTACCGGCGAGCTAATAGGTAACCCGGTGGGCGATATCCAAATAAAGCCCTAGAAATTGGTAAATATGGACAGTAAACAGGTGCCACTGTTTCCTGTTGCCATGACTACCTAATGTTGCCATTAGCAAGTTGACCAGGTTTTCTAGTTATGCCAGATAACAGTACAAAAGTCAGTCCTACCTTAATTAGTCTCTCGTAAGCCAGAATGGCTTCCTTCTCTTCAGGGAATAAGTTGATGAGGTTTTGGAAGTATTTGCCTGCTCTCATGGGAAACAACCGGGCTTTGGATGGTTCTCCCACGGCCACCTGCGAGAGAGCAAAGAACATCAAGTATCGCTCATGGCTGAGAGGCGAATGCAAAAAGTTATCGTGGAATTATTGAACCAAAAAAAAAAAAAAAAAAAAAAAAAAATTAAGAAAAAAAAAAATGAATAGACAGCCTACCTGGAGAAAGATAAAAGTCGTTAAAGTATTAAAGGAATTAGACGTAGACAAATTCTGTTTTTCGGACATGGCGATCCTGTATTCGTGTAAACACAGCTTCATCTTCATAGCAAACGGATCGCCTTCACTGTTCCGCCGTTGCTGTGCCAACGAAAACCACACAGAATGTTCGCCACTCAGTGTATCAGCAATGCCAACAGCACACACGCCTACTCAGTGCCGTCAGAAGTGCCGAAGGAAACAGTCCGACCCCCAAAAATGCAGTTTGTCGTCACTGAAGCAGCAATGACCACATATCAGTTGTTGCACATGCTATTAATCACACAAGGCACATTCTATTAGAAGAAATTAACTTTGTAACTGCAGACAAGATTGATAGAAGGAGAGCAAAGGGCATGTGTAAATTTACGGTGTCAAACTCACGGACATTGTGTCAAAGTCGGACATTGTGTCACAGCTCACACAACAAGCACCTACTGTGTCAAAGACGTCATCAAGTTTGGCCCATCTCAGCTGACCACAGGTCAGTTGGTCCAAGAGAACACGAGGGACAGATCCTTCTTCTAAGTCTCCGACATAATGGATTCCTGCAGGCAGAGAAAGCTTAGTCACAACAGAACATAAACTCTTTCTGTACAAAAAAAAAAACATACATTGAGAGGTTACCTTCACACTTTTTCTTATCAGACAGAGAGATAGAGAGGGAAAGGAAAGATGCAGAGAGAGAGGAAGAAATGTAAGGAAAGCGAAATATATCAAGAAAGAGAGAGAGAGAGAGAGAGAGAGAGAGAGAGAGAGAGAGAGAGAGAGAGAGAGAGATCAAGAAAGAAGAGACAATGAGAAAGACTGAAACAGAACGTTAGAGCAAAGATAGAGAAAACATGAGAGAGACAGAGATAAGAAGAGAAAAGAAAAAAATAAAGAGAAAGTGTGTGAGAGAGAGAGAGAGAAAGAAAGAGGAAGAAAGAAAAGAAAAAGAGAGAAAGCGAGATAATAGAGAGATAAAGAAAGGTAGATAAGAGACAGAGATATTCGGTTGTTTGTGTAAATGTTGACATATACAATTAGGTTGTGTAAATGTTGACATATCTCATTAGGTTGTGTAAACGTTGACATATCTCATTGAGTTGTTTGTGTAAATGCTGACATATCTCAATATGTTGTCTATGTAAATGGCTCTAATGTCTCCTAGTTTTTTTTTCGTAAAGGTTTACATATCTGATGTCAGTGAGAAGTTATCTGTGTATATGTTGACATATCTAAATATGTTTATTTAAATGTTGACATATTTGATGTTAGTGATAAGTTGTCCGTGTAAATGTTGACATATCTCACTATGTTTATGTTAATGTCGACATCTCTCATTATATTGCCACTTTGACAGAACATACCGGTATCGAACTCGAACCCTTTCTCCACAAATGAGTGACAACATCCACCAGCCTGGTCGTGCTGCTCCAGGACCAGGACTTTCAGGCCAGCAAATGTCAGCAGGACTCCCGCCGAAAGTCCTCCAGCCCCGCTGCCGATGATAATAGCGTCAAGGTTGTCGGGCACTTTCGTGGGTTTGAATCCTGAAAAAATGTGACATCATACAAGTATACTTTTGAAAATTAATGTATTAGGGCTACATATTATTGTACTGCATACTTTATAAGTCTACAACATTTCCATGACAAACCCCGTCCAAATTTTGTGATTATCTATACACATTGTGACGAAAGGACCTCAGTGTTTTCAGAAGTTAGTACGCGTAATAATTCCTTCTGTTTAGAGAGAGACAGAGAATTATATTTAATATGTCGTACGCTGGAATATAACTAAATTGTTAAAAATGTTTCCAGTCCTTTGCTCAGACAAAGCCACCAAGCTTTGGTCACTATTATATAACATTACCTCATATAGCCAGCTGGTCTACCTGGGAAAGTTCAGACATAATGGCTGTAGGGTTTGATTGTAGAACTGAAGTGTCATAGCCAGCTGGTCTACCTGGGACAGTTCAGACAGAGTGGCTGTAGGGTTTGATTGTAGAACTGAAGTGTCTTATAATTATCTCCTGACCAGAGACTCTTAGAGGCATTCAACTCGCGAGTGGTTAAAATTGATCGCGTGGACAACTGCTGAACTGTTGGCGACAAGTTCTGCTATCATCAATGATGAACTGCATTTCTAATGTTGGACTGTTTGTGTTAGCACTTCGGATGGCAACCGTATGCTTTAATGCGAGTGTATGCTAGATATGCTGAGACAGCAGTCTGTCAATCTTTCCAGAAGGGACTGTGACAAACATTCTGGGTGTTTTTCGTTGGCACAGGAGCGGAGCAAAGATGGGGCCACCCGTTTGCTATGAAGCTGAAACTAAGACTACCAGACTACCAGACTTCCAACTCAGTCACAAAACTAATTATCCCCATTGCGATTATCTTCCTTGAACTGCAGACCACCGAGAGTCAGAAAATAGGTCATCTGCCAGATTGGGCCCTTTTAACTGATAAGGTAAGGGTAGTTAACTTGGTCAAGTAGTAAACACAATGGCTTCACTGACCGTCTTTTCACACCTGCCAGTGACACGGTCTTGGACTAGATGTTTACCACTTAAGAATGTTTGCTCAGACTGGTGGCCGTCAAGAATTGACTGACAGGCACCTTGATAGCTAATTTGATCTGTCAGGTACTTCTGGGGCGTGGTTTAGAGCTTCTCCGGTAGGACAGGTTGAATACTGGAAAGGGGAGGAGTTTAATTTGGACAATAGATTAATACTTATACTGCTAGCATTTTAAATTTACCTCATAATGCTGCTAGCAAAGCCACAAACTCAGACCTACAGAATGAAGTATTTCTAGCTGGTTGAGTCTTGTTTGGCAATTGCTAAAACGTTCCCAGGTATGAGTGTATATTATTTTTAATCTTTTTTTTATAGGTTAGGAGCTAGCTCAGTCTACTATTCTTTCCTGATGTATCTAATTTAACATTCTGCTTGAAATAGTTCTTTGTGAGTATTCAGTTATCTCAGTTAGGGAACTGCTGAATCATTCCTATTTCTTGTATGTTTGTATCACATGTTTTTCAGTGAATGTTTTCGTGTGTATAAGATGTGAACAATCACATTTGCTATAATGAAATGTAATTATATTGTTTCAATTATCAACCCAACACATGTGCTTGGACTGAGGAAAAATCACGCCCATATGTGCAGCCATGTGGTTGCGTTTTAAAAGCTCCCCATGTGCTCACTGGAAAGACAATATTCCAGACAACATGCACATATAAAATGGTTTGAGTTTTCAGCACATAACCTTCTCCACGTGTTCATGTCAAAACAATGTCAGCCAGTTTCGAAGTCTGAGTGAAGACGGACAGCAGACTTAGGAAGTCAAATATCATGACAGTACATGAGAGGGAAGGCAGACAATGACGTCAATGTGAGACATAAGACCTTCAGACTAGACTGGAGAGAATATGTAAGATGAGGAATAGAGATGTTTATGTGTATATATATATATATATTGTATTGGTATATGCATGCTTAGTGTACGTATAGATACTACACATATGTGTTTGTTTCACAGCTCCTGTCGGGGTGAAGACGTCTGCTCTGATAGAACTAGATTGTCACATGCACGAACCTACGTTGTGGGAGATCGGCAAGCTGGGAACAGGCTGAGAATAAGCTGGAACAGGCAAGGAATAAGCTAGAACAGGCAGAGAAGGAGGTGGAACCAGTTGTGAAGAAGCTGGAAGAGGTGGAAAAGCTTGACAGTGCCTCACGGCTGTCTGAGGTTTTATAACAAAGTTACGTCCACACATTGTTCGTAAACTTATCACCATCATCATACCACTCTAATCCAAGGTGCTCAGTTATCTAGCTGAAGCATCTCATCACTATCATACCATCAGCCAGTCACGGTTTGTGTAAACCTTACAAACTGCTAAATTTCATTTTAATGATTGTTAGTAAATAAAGCTGTATGTCAAGTTTTATACTACATCGTTTGTTAAATTCCAAGTGTATTTAGTCTTACCTGTAAAACTAAACTGTTCGATAAAATTACATTTTGTGGGAGCTCTTTAATTATTAATACCAGGAAAGGATAAAGTCGTAGGGGTTAACTGTGTATCTTGATATCTCATTGGGTTCATCTTGATATCTATCTATCCCTTCTCCTACTCCTGTGGGTACCGAGTGCAGCTGTTGTGTATTTACATGACGAGCCAAATATGGCTGTTTTCTTGGATATCCAGGACTTTGTCTGAGATCAACATAGCTCTGATAATAGTCCAGTTTCTCTGGTGGAGATGAAGTGTTGAGATGTAAACTCCTACTCATCACAAAAGTATCTATCCACTTCGGGACCCGTGACACACATGACTCTGGTGTGAGACGCAGAAAGGTGTATGGTGTTTATTGCTTTAGCGAATGTATTTGTTACAGCAAGAAAAAAAATAGGATCTGCAATATCTAGCAATGAGAATGGAGGTGGAGGCATTCACAATAGCTTTTCGCTGGCTTGAGACCCAGCTGCACACATGCCCTGAATGTAACAGATCCCCAAAGCATGCAGAGAGTGGTGGAGAAAGTTATGATCTGTTCAGAGCAACAAGCATAGCTTCACAGGTCTCAGATAGTTAGTGTTCTTTGGATATTTTCTCCGGAGCATGCAGGCGTGTTTAGACATGATCTTCCATGCCAATTGACGTGGTTGATGATATTGATGATAATAAGAATGTAACTTTATTTCAAACTTAATTATTGAAATGAGACTGGGTTAGATAATTGTTAATAACAACTAAACAATAGTTGTGATTCAGGGTTACATAGACATGATTAATCGCTTAATATTATCTGCTACATATATTCCACCGAGTCGGCATTGCCAACACGCTTCGTAAATTCGAGATATCCATTTTAATGCCAGCTGCAGGCAATTTGGCAATATACCACTTTGCAATGGCGTCGACAGCCAATGGTCAAGGGAGCAATGGCGAACAACGGAACGTTAAAAACACAGTGAGCAAGTTGCGTAAGCCTGTAAGTTCTCGCACCTGTGGTGTGGCTTCCATCCACTGTCTGCACTGCTCAAGAACTTGCCAGGTTCAGATTGGACTGGTCAGAGATGTTCGAGCTCGTAATTACTGACCACTGATAACTTTCAGACACTAAGTGTTCTAGTACCGTGCCGTACCGTAGATTTGCCTAAATATTTCCGCGCTGTCAGATCAAAACTGTATTTTGATTTCGTTCTTTATACCGACCCCTCCCTTACCGTGCCGCCTAATGCGGACGCCTCTCTGTATCATAGAACGGCACGGCCTTAGAGTGGTCTTCCTTACTGGAACAACATCCGTACATATCTGGCTGGTATCTGATCAGTATCATGCCAATATCCACCAGGTATACCTGTTCAACCATGATCCACGGCGGATTGGAAACAAAATAGCACAAGACATGGTAACAGGACAACAGGGCAGGGGCGACCAGAACGAAGATGGGTACAAGATATAAAGCAGGAAAGTGCACGAGTCGGGAGAGCGTTTGAGAGACACAGTTTTTCTAAGGAAGACTGTAATAAGATCGGCATTCTGCAAAGGACTTGTTACATGAAGATGAAGACCGTTTAACCCCTGTATGCCCCAAAATGAGGGTATTAAATCTGCCAAGTGTGTAGGCTAAACAACTCTATGTTACAGTTGACCCTATCGCTTGACGTCAGTTTGAGGTCCTTGCTGTCTTAAATGAGGTCACGTACTCCAGTCAGGGTGGGCGAGTTACAAATCTGGAACAATTTGTTGCATAATTTCTTTTGTGCTAAATCGGTAGGACCTCTTTCTGATATGGGGCATTTTTCGTTGGTTAGTTGGTTAGTAGGTCAATCAGCCATTCGCATTGTGTGGTGGATTAATGGGCGTGTTGGTTAATTTGCTAGTTAGCTGGTTGCTGCGTTAGTTGGTTTGCTGGTTGATTGGGTGATTGGATTTCGAACAGTTGGTTGGCTAGTATAATCGTTGGTTGGTTAGTAAGTTGATTGGTTAGTTTAGCTGGTTAGTTGGTTGGTAAAGTGATTCGATTGTATGGTTTATTATTTGATTGGTGAGTGAATTAGCTTTTTGAATAGTTGGTTGATGGAATAGGTAGGAATGGAGGAGGGAGAATGATGAGAGAAAGATGACAAAAGGGGATACATAGAAGAAGAAGTAAAGGAGGAGAAGCATGACAGCAAAAGGGTATAGACAATTCAGTTTCTGAAAACACTTATTGCGCATCAACAAAACAAAAGAGAAAAAGTTTCGAACATACGAGCAATGCGCTGTCTGACATAGGCTTACTCATGTGCTATCATGCACAAAAGTAAAACTAAAAGTTCTACTTACTCTCCTTGAGTACAACATCCCGGAGTTTGGTGTCATAAACAAATGGTTCTACTCACTCTCCTTGAGTACAACATCCCAGAGTTTGGTGTCATGAACACACAGTTCTAATTTCCTTAATTACAACATCCCGGAATTTGGGGACAGGAACAAACGGTTCTACTTATTGTCCTTGAGTACACCATCTCAAAGTTTGGTGTCATGAACAAACGGTTCTACTCACTCTCCTTGAGTACAACATCTCGGAGTTTGATGTCATGAACAAACGGTTCTACTTACTCTCCTTGAATACAACATCCCGGAGTTTGGTGTCATGAACACACGGTTCTACTTACTCTCCTTGAATACACCATCTCAAAGTTTAGTGTCATGAACAAACGGTTCTACTTACTCTCCTTGAGTACACCATCTCAAAGTTTAGTGTCATGAACAAACGGTTCTACTTACTCTCCTTGAGTACAACATACCGGAGTTTGATGTCATGAACAAACGGTTCTACTCACTTTCCTTGAATACAACATCCCGGAGTTTGGTGTCATGAACACACGGTTCTACTTACTCTCCTTGAATACACCATCTCGGAGTTTGGTGATGTAGACACACGGTTCCACTTACTCTCCTTGAGTACAACATCCCAGGTTTGGTGTCATGAACAAACGGTTCTACTTACTCTCCTTGAATACACCATCTCGGAGTTTGGTGACGTAAACACAAGGTTCTACTTACTCTCCTTGAGTACAACATACCGGAGTTTGGTGTCATGAACAAACGGTTCTACTTAATCTCTTTGGGTGCACCATCTCAAAGTTTAGTGTCGTGAACACAAGGTTCTACTTCCTTTACTTGAGTACAACATCTCAGATTTTAGTGTCGTGAACACAAGGTTTTACTTACTCTTCTAGAGTACAACATCTCCGAGTTTAGTCTCATGAACAAACAGTTTTATTTACTTTCCTTAAGTACAACATCTCAGAGTTTAGTGTCATGAACAAACGGTTCTAATTACTCTCCTTGAGTACAACATCTCAGAGTTTAGTGTCATGAACAAACTGTTCTACTTACTCTCCTTGAGTACAACATCCCGGAGTTTGGTGTCATGAAGAAACGGTTTTACTTACTCTCCTTGAGTACAACATCCCAGAGTTTAGTGTCATAACCACACAAGTTTCTACTTACTCTTTTTGAGTACTACATCTCAAAGTTTAGTGTCGTGAACACAAGGTTCTACTTCCTTTACTTGAGTACAACATCTCAGATTTTAGTGTCGTGAACACAAGGTTTTACTTACTCTTCTAGAGTACAACATCTCCGAGTTTAGTCTCATGAACAAACAGTTTTATTTACTTTCCTTAAGTACAACATCCCAGAGTTTAGTGTCATGAACGCAAGGTTCTACTTACTCTCCTTAAGTAAACATCTCAGAGTTTAGTCTCATGAACAAACAGTTCTACTTACTTTCCTTGAGTACAACATTTCAGAGTTTAGTGTCTGAACAAACGGTTCTACTCACTCTCCTTGAGTACAACACCTTGAAGTTTGGTGTCATGAACAAACGTTTTTCTTACTCTCTTTGAGTACAACATCTCAGAGTTTAGTGTCATGAACACAAGTTTCTACTTACAGTTTTTGAGTACTACATCTCAGAGTTTAGTGTCATGAAGACAAGTTTCTACTTACTCGTTTTGTGTACTACATCTCACAGTTTAATGTCATAAACACAAGGTTCTACTTTCTCTCCTTGAGTACAGCATCTCAGAGTTTAGTCTCATGAACAAACAGTTCTACTTACTTTCCTTGAGTACAACATCTCAGAGTTTAGTGTCATGAACGAACGGTTCTACTCACTCTCCTTGAGTACAACATCTCGAGTTTAGTGTCTGAACAAACGGTTCTACTTACTCTTATTGAGTACAACATCTCGGAGTTTGGTGATGTGAACACACGGTTTCACTTACTCTCCTTGAGTACAACATCCCGGAGTTTGGTGTCATAAACAAACGGTTCTACTTAATCTCTTTGGGTGCACCATCTCAAAGTTTAGTGTCGTGAACAAAAGGTTCTACTTATTTTACTTGAGTACAACATCTCAGATTTTAGTGTCGTGAACACAAGGTTTTACTTACTCTTCTAGAGTACAACATCTCAGAGTTTAGTCTCATGAACAAACAGTTTTACTTACTTTCCTTGAGTACAACATCTCAGAGTTTAGTGTCATGAACAAACGGTTCTAATTACTCTCTTCGAGTACAATATCTCAGAGTTTAGTGTCATGAACAAACGGTTCTACTTACTCTCCTTGAGTACAACATCTCGGAGTTTGGTGTCATGAACAAACGGTTCTTCTTACTCTTCTTGAGTACAACATCCCGGAGTTTGGGGTCATTAACAAACGGTTCTACTTACTCTCCTTGAGTACACCATCTCTGAGTTCGGTGTAAAGAACAAACGGTTCTACTTACTCTCCTTGAGTACAACAACTTAGAGTTTGGTGTCGTGAACAAACGGTTCTACTTACTCTCCTTGAGTACAACATCCCGAAGTTTGGTGTCATGAACAAACGGTTCCAGAGCTCTCCTGTGGTCATACTGTAGAGGGTTTCTACCTTTCTGTCCACCAGAGAAAAATGAATATATAGTAGCCGCAAAAACCAGCAGCAGTACAGCAGCAATCAGCAGTAATTGATTGTTGGCAGCAAAATTAATGACTGTAGCAGCTCCAGTACTGACAGCCATGTTTGTTGAGCAGTAATTCACGCCCGGAGATCCACAGGTATGCCCCAGATCAGTCACTGGTGCTCGAGGACCAGGTTTGGTCGTTCATGAAAGAGTGAACGAATACTTGGCCCTATAATACCGAGGTCTTACTTTGATACCACATGTGAGCTTCAAAGTTGTATAAACTGACTTTTGGACTTAACCGATGAGGCCATATTACATTACGAAACACATATTTAGAGTTTATAATTAAGTTCTCTGTTGTGTAGCATCTACGTTTCATACAACATCAATCAGTCTATCTATCTATCTATCTATCTATCTATCTATCTATCTATCTATCTATCTATCTATCTATCTATCTATCTATCTATCTATCTATCTATCTATCTATCTATCTATCTATCTATCTATCTATCTATCTATCTATCTATCTATCTATCTATCTATCTATCTATCTATCTATCTATCTATCTATCTATCTATCTATCTATCTATCTATCTATCTATCTATCTATCTATCTATCTATCTATCTATCTATCTATCTATCTATCTATCTATCTATCTATCTATCTATCTATCTATCTATCTATCTATCTATCTATCTATCTATCTATCTATCTATCTATCTATCTATCTATCTATCTATCTATCTATCTATCTATCTATCTATCTATCTATCTATCTATCTATCTATCTATCTATCTATCTATCTATCTATCTATCTATCTATCTATCTATCTATCTATCTATCTATCTATCTATCTATCTATCTATCTATCTATCTATCTATCTATCTATCTATCTATCTATCTATCTATCTATCTATCTATCTATCTATCTATCTATCTATCTATCTATCTATCTATCTATCTATCTATCTATCTATCTATCTATCTATCTATCTATCTATCTATCTATCTATCTATCTATCTATCTATCTATCTATCTATCTATCTATCTATCTATCTATCTATCTATCTATCTATCTATCTATCTATCTATCTATCTATCTATCTATCTATCTATCTATCTATCTATCTGTCTATCTGTCTATCTGTCTATCTGTCTATCTGTCTGTCTGTCTGTCTGTCTGTCTGTCTGTCTGTCTGTCTAATCTTTTGAGCCATTCAGCCAATCAGCCATCCATCTATTCAGCAGGTCAGCCATCCAGTTATCCATCCAGTCATCCATCCATCCATATATCGGTCTAACTGTCTGTCTGTCGGTCTCTGTTTGTCCGTCCGTCTGTCTGTCTGGTTTGCCTATCTGTCTATCCCTCTGTCGTTTCCTCTGCCTGTCTTCTATATGTTTTTGTCTTGTCCATCTATACTTCTGTCTATCTACCTGTCTGTCTGTCTGTCTGTCTGTCTGTCTGTCTGTCTGTCTGTCTGTCTGTCTGTCTGTCTGTCTGTCTGTCTGTCTGTCTGTCTGTCTGTCTGTCTGTCTGTCTGTCTGTCTGTCTGTCTGTCTGTCTGTCTGTCTGTCTGTCATTCTGACCGTTTGTCCCTGAGTCATATGCCATGAATCTGTTTGCTGCCTTAAGCTAATGGCTCGTTGACAACTCCATGACAATGTGTCTGTCTATAACACAACTGATCTAACATCGTCAGAGTCTACACACAAGCCTTCAGTGTAACTACACAAGGAATCAAGCCGTTTAATCCAGACATGGTTCCCGTTACACAACCTGTCGGAATGCTTTACTGTCGGGGAATTTCGGTCCGTCCCTTTTTCCTGTAACAGTCTTCGTGGGCTGTTGAACACGTAGTAGCTAAGCGGTCATCTAAGTGCTAGTTCGTCAGTCACTATCATCATCTACAGTCGACCCATAGCCATCAACTCTCTGACATCATCCATCCGTTCCAGTTTTTATTTTATCTGTCCCTTTTTTTCTCTCTATCAAAATGTATTTATCTTTCTTTTTCTCTATTTTTGCAGCTCTCTACATATTGCTCTTTCTTTCTGTTTCTCTACAGCAAGTCTATTTTTCTGCACCGTTCTCACTTGCTATCGCCTAGCTCTCATTCTGCACTCTCACATTTACCTCTTCTTCTTCTTTCGTTCGCCTGAAATAAGTTGTCTATATCAGCAATTTTGTCTCTTGGATAAATTTCACTGTTGTTGTTAATTCATTCAGTGGTCCATAGAGTTAACGTTCCACTGTTGTTCTTTCTGGCCAAAAGGTTTGCCTTAATGTGTCAAAATCGGTGCAGTCCTGGAGTACATGCTCTGCTGTCTGGGGCACATTTCCACAGGTGCACATGGCTGATACACCTATCTTGAATTTTGTGTACATGTGGTTACATAATCGGTTGTGCCCTGTTCTGAGGCGGAGGATAATGACTTGTTCTGATCTGTCCAAAATAAAATAGTCGTCTTGTGCTGGGGCTGGTGGTTTCCTGATTGATTTAATGATTCTTTTCTTTTGGTGGTATGTGACTGGTACATCCGGTTGCACTTTTGTCGCACCTTCGCCTGCCAGTTGATCAGCTTTCTCATTTCCAGGCACTCCATAATGTGATGGTATCCACTGCATTACAACTCTTTGCTGAGGGCTAAGTTGTGTCAGCAGTGTTTGCAATTCTCGTAGTTTCCTAGACTAAGAGTGCTTCAAGTACTGATGTTGTATCTGTCAGCATTACCACATACTGGGAGCCAAGATTGGTATTTAGCAGTTTCTGTGTTGCTATCTTGATAGCCTGAGTTTCTGCATCATAGTTATGGCAGTACTTTCCGGTTGGTACGCTGGACTTATCCCTAGTACCATCTGGGAATTCTATATACACTCCAGCACCACCATTTCTAACTGCACTTTATGCAGACCCATCTGTATAGACTCTGACCGTGTTCTTGTGGGTATTCTTCATCAATATAACTGAGGGTGGCCATTCTGCGTTGTACACTATCTTGTTCTGGGGTAGGGTTTGGGTTAGGGTTAGGGTTAGGGTTAGGGGTAGGGTTTGGGTGACACATCACGGACACAACGGAAGCTTATCGCTCATTACGACATACAGATCCGCAGGTCTCACATCTACGGTCACTAAGTCGTGCGTCGGAAGAACGCGGTCGCTAATGTGAGTCGCAGCGCGTGGTCTACGAGAGTCTTGCGTCGCAAGACTATGGTCGCTACTGTCAGCCGCAGCGCGTGATCTAGCTCTAGCAGGCATGTCGACCTGACTTTGTTTTTTGATTCGTGACTTGTCCGCTCCGTATTTGCACTGCAGCCAAGGGAGTGAACTCCGACTAAGCGATGGTGAGTGTGACTGGCGAGATAATTTTTCACAATTATAGCATGGGATTTCAGGACCGTTGTTGTCATACTTGTAAGTTATTTACCGTTGTCGTGCTTGCATAGACACCCTCAGTTTTCACTCGATATTATAGAAAATAGTCATTCTAAAAAGAAACTTTTCTTGTTTCCTTGATCATACTTGTACATGAAATAATCTTAAAACGGAATGTCAGTAGCTATCACGAAGTTCATGAAAATATTTTGGCTCTCCTTTAAATAACGGTCGCTAGCTGGAAGGCGACGGCCGCTTAGTCGGAGTTCACTCCCTTGGCTCACAGGTTAATTAATTTTTTTTTTAAATAAAATCTCACTTCTATTAGATTTTTAACACAATTTTACTATAAAGGCGTCTGTGGCTTAGGGGTTGCGAACGCGATTGGTAATGACTGGGTGCCGGGTTCGATCCCCGCTGCGGACGATTTCTCTTGCTTTGGTCTCCACAGTGGTAATGAGAGCTGATCGTTCAGATAGGAAAACTACTGAACTTAAAATTTGTCTAGACAACCCACAACGGCTAAAAAGGCTGGGGTTGGTTCTGCGACGTCCTGTAAAGGATACACAGCTAACTTAGCACACTGGAATGTGCGATGTTTTCAGTGTACAAACCTGGCTTAACTTTCATATACCCATATGACAAAATGGGATAATTTCCTAGTCCTTGCAAGGGTTTGCAAAGTCCATTAGAATCTTTTCTTTGTCTTTGCAAGGGTTTACAAAGTCCATATGTGGTTGTAAATCAAAACACACACACACCCCCTCATACACAAAAGAAAAGCTATGATTATTGGAAGAGGCCTGGGTTTTAATCCAGACAACTGCATGGCAATGTCAAACAATTGTTTACTAGATCACAAATCCATATACAGAGTAAGAAATGCATTTGCCACCTTGGAAGATATTTACTCATAAAAATAGAAATCGACCAGGATAGTAAGCGATTGTACAAAGTGCATTATAAATTCACTATTTCATTGAATCAAAATTAGTCAGATTATGTACATATTCACAGTACAATGTCTATGTTAATCACAACACACACACACACACACAAAATGTAAAAAAGCTATATTTAAAACAAAATAATTCGCAAAACTGTCTTTAATAAATAGTTAAACGATGTATATAAGAACAGATAAAACTTTAAAATGTCAATGAACACTTGATAAAACAGTCATATCTCTGAAGGTTGAACAGGATATTAGGTGTGAAAATTACTACTATTACTACACACATGAAGACAAACTGACAGTTGTTTAGTCGTTGTGTGGATCCATCTGTGGCCTTATATTAAGCACACCAACAGAAACTGGAACACTGGCAGTCTGTCTGCTGGCTTGCATAACTGACCCACACTGTGTGAGAGGACAACCACACACAACACCACTATGTACAACATTATAGCTGGCTGCCCTAACTGGCCCGCCCTGTAGGAGAGAACAACCACACATAACACCACTATGTAAAACATTAGAGCTGGCTCGCCATCAACATCCGCCTGTCAGGTGATGATGTGAACTGTTCAGTTGTCCTTCTACATAAGCACATCATGCACACCATACCGTGTAGATGATGTGAACTGTTCAATTGTCCATCTACAATAGCATCATGCACACTGTACAGTGTTGATGATGTGAACTGTTCAATTGTCCGTCTACGCAAGCATCATGCACACCATACAGTGTAGGTGATATGAACTGTTTGGTAGTCCGTCTACGCGAGCAT